GGCGGGCGGGGGGGAGGGCGGTGGAGATGGACTGAAGTCCGAGGGAGGCACGGAGGGTGCGGCGTAGAGACGGGTGGCCGCGGCCCGAGAGACCCCGAGCTGCAGGTGGACATGTGTGAGTGTGTCTGCAGAGCAAGGAGCCTTCCTTCCCTCTCCTCCAAGCGGCTCCACATTCCCTCGTGTTTTCTCATCCCCCTCCTCAGCCTGAGAGGTGTCGTTTCCGTAAATTCACCCAGCCGGCGGGGGGCTTTATTGTTTTAAGCAAGGGCCTCGGGCTTGCACGCGCTCGCCCACCTCCCAGCTTCTCCGGCAAGCGGCTGTGTTTTTTTTTTTTTTTTTTCCTGCGTCGTCTTAGGAAAGTTTCAAACCTATTACAAAATGACTGGCTCGCCTAGCTCGGTGAAGCTTCGGGCCCCTCTAAGGAAGGAAAGGAGGTTTTGATACCCAACACGAGGAGAGGTGTGGGCTGAACTGGGTTTGTGTGAATGGGGTTTGTTGTTATTATTGTTTCCCTCCAGTTTAAGGGGGGGGGAGGACCTCTAATTCTTTTTAAGAAGCAGGAAGATTCACTCGCAGTAAAGCTCTGTAGCGTGTGCGTGACACCATTTCCCCTTTTCTCTGAGTTCTTCAGAGCAGGTCAGCGTCTCTTCCACTACTATCTGGGTTTTTGTCTTGTGAAATCAGTCTCCGAGCTACCAAAAGAATGCTACTACGGCTGGGGTGGGAGGGTAGGTGGGACACTGAGTTGGATGGCTGGAGGGAAGGTAAGAAAGGGAAGAAGAAAGTGCAACTGCGAGGCCTTTGAAAAATAAATAAATAAAATAAAAGCCCCTTCAGGTAACAACGGTGAGTCAGGTTCTTTCAGAATGGAGCTTTTCAGATTTGAATCTTGTTCCCATCCATCCATAAAAGTTCATATAGAGAGAAGATATATAAATGGGAGGATTGTGTTGTGGAAATATATACTGTATATGTGTGATTTATATATAATGGTGTGTATAAAGCTTTTCAGGGTTGGCTGTAGTGTAAAAAGTAATGACTTTATTACCTCTGAAAGGTTCTGTGGTTCACATTTAACAGTCTTCTGAATTACAATTCATTACACAATTGTGTGCTCTCTAAAACCGGCACCCTATCAGGGCTGCTATCTGTGGTTATTTCCAATAAATAACTGGCAACATTTTATTGATTTTCTTTTTAAAAAAAAATCATAGGAAATTAAGCACTTAGTTACAAGTAGGTCTGCTATGTTATTGCACTTGTTTCAGATTCCAGGGGGTTCCTTCCGAAACCACATCTTAAAACATACATTAAAAAACCAGCTTTGCAGCTGCTTTCCTTGGGTGCCAATGGAGAGGTAAGGAGCGACGTTTCCACCATTAACATATATTTAATTTCACCATCATAAAATGCCCAGGGTGAAATGGGGACTGCCCTCCTCCTCCGCCCCTCCCCCAGCCAGATTTCACCCAGTCTAGAAAACTAGGGCTGTGCGTTGGCATTTGATCTCTCCTTGTCGCGGACCCCCCTCCCGCGTCCCTCTAGCTCTGCGGTGCGGGTGACGCCCCCCTCCCTCATCGCTGCTGGATGCTCGCTACAGAGCCCAAAAGTGGGGGAGGGGGAGAGTTCGTACATGTGCTTAAAGAAGTAAAAATGTGTTGTTTTAAGAGATTTTAAAATATTACATAAGTATTGATTAATGATGCAGGTGGTTTTGTGGGGGGGGTGAAAGGTCACTTTAAACGCACACACTTGGATACACAATTAGTATATTTACCTTTCCAGAAGTGGCTTTTAGAAAGCAATAAATTATGACAATGTTAAAATATTTTTCTGGTCTTTCAGTTAACTTCGTTTGGGGCTGTAGAACCTTTTCTGCTTGCCTTGAGAGGGTAATTACGCTCCGTGGGCTCTTTCCCAAACCTTTGGTGACGACACTGCATGTAAACTCCAGGCCAACAGACGACCCCTCCCCTCCCCTCCTCCCACTTTTTATCTTGCCGGCGGAGGAGACTCCCCAGTACTTCCTGCAGTATATATTCTGCCTCTGATCTCCGTACTTAATAGCCAAGTCCTGGTTTATGCTTTATAATGTGTTGACAAGTTTTCTAACAGACTTTCTGAAATAATGCACATATATTCACGTCGGTTAGAAACCCACCGTATTTTTAGAGTCGAGTAGATCTATACCCTAATGCAGCGAGAGAGTGTAAATCATAGAGGATTTCATAGTCCTTTCAGTAGTTTTCGGTATGAAGTATGAGCCGCGTGGCCTCCAGACGTAACCTTTTAGAAAAAAAGACAGTGCTTTTATTTTATGGTGTAAAGTGCTTTTAGCTCCAGGGCTCTGAACGTGAATGTGGTCAACAAACAGCTCGAAGAGGGAGACTTAATACAGCCCCAGCCCTGGTGCGGAGGATCGCCTGGCGCTGGGGACTCGGGCTGAGCTGGAGAATGAAGGGTTAAAAGGTCTGTCTCGATGGAAACTACAAGATTAAAATAAAATATTCACTTTCTGCCTTTAGGGGAAAATACTTTTATAGACTTAAAGATAAATAAATGAATGACTGAATGAATGTTTAAAAATATAGTCAGTCCCACCTTGCTTTTATGACTTCATCCTTTCACCCTTTTTTCTTCCTGCTTTTCTTTATTATTATTTTGTTTTTCCTAATTGTCAGATCAGAAAATAGAAAATGGGCAGTTTTCTTCATACAAATAAAACAGGTTTCAACCCTGCATTTGCTGTAGGTTTCGAATCTGGGGCTGTTGAGGATGGTGTGTTAAGGTGTTAGACGATGGGAAATGAATTGAAAAGGGAGGGAGATGGCGTTTGAGGAACCAGGTAGGCTTC